CAGGAGGAGTATACAGGATGGCCCAGCCCCAGCATGTGAGGGGGGCCCAGAAGGAGTGCATAGGATGGCCCAGCCCCAGCAGGTGAGGGGGGCCCTGCAGAGCAGCCGTTCTTTCCTGTACTCAGCCCCCTGCTGCAGTTTTCATGGCATTAAGTAGCTTGCTGGCAGGGTACATTCTAATCTGACTTTTCAGTTTAATTCTGGGCTTCTCTACATTAGAATTATGGCCATTGGAGGAAGGGCCTCTGGGAAGTTTCAGAATCCCAATTCCTGTGCCCCATCCCACCCAATCAGAGCATTTGTTGATGGCACCCAGGCATTCTTTAGGAGGCACACACTGAGCGAAACGGTTTAGTGAATGCCTGTGGGAAGAGCTTGAACAGGGACTTGCCTGCCAGGGATCTAGTCCTGGCTTTGCTGGTGCACGTCCCTGGAGGATCTTGGCCACGTCACCCAGCTGAGGTTGAGGGGCGGGTACAGCTTTTGTAACCAGGTCTCCCTGGATTTGAATCCTGACCCTGCCTCTTACCATCTTCATTGGAGTCCTGGTCCTCTGAGCCTTGTCGCCCTTGTGAGACACAGCATTTCCTACTTGGGAGGGCTGGGAGGGTCCCACTGAAGCGCATGGTCCTGCAGTGTGAGCTGGTTGCAAGGCAGACTCAGCACTCTTAAAATAAATGATAGTTCCCAGCATAAAGACACGTCATGTTTTAAATTTAAAAGAATTACAGCAATTCTTTTGAAGAAAGGACTGTAGAATTTATTTGCTCTTCTCAGATAGCCCTTTGGTGACGAATAGCCTGTGGGTCCCACACTAGTGTGAAGTCCTTTGTGTGGGGGCAGTTGCCAGGGACCTGCTAGTCCCCCTCCTGGGAAGCTGGACAGAACTATGTTCCTTGCCCATCCGTCTTCATCTGTTTTTTTGTTATTTTAAAAGAATATGTGGCCGGGCGCGGTGGCTCAAGCCTGTAATCCCAGCACTTTGGGAGGCCGAGGTGGGTGGATCACAAGGTCAAGAGATCGAGACCATCCTGGTCAACATGGTGAAACC